AGCATTAATGAATAGCTTATAATTAGAAATGAATTATAATTTTTAATATTTTATATGAATTATAAGTACAAATAAAGCAGAATTCTTAAGCCATCTATTCTCTACCTCAATTTTAATCTTTAGTTATTCTACAGGTTAAGAACTTAATTTTCTTGTTCCTAAGTTTGAGAAACCCAGAAAAGCAGATAAAAAAAAATACAATCAGAATTGCAATATGTAATGAAACTGTTTTCTTAGAATCACTTGCTAGCAGATTTTCCAGTCCTGATGGAACTGTTTGATCTCTGTCACAGATGAAAATGTGTGTGTGTGTGTGTGTGTGTGTGTGTGTGTGTGTGTGTGTGTGTGTGTAAAATGATGTTCATATATATATCACAGATTCTCCTTTAACATTATAATTACATAATACAGGTTTTCTTTTTTTTTTTATTTCTAGGAATACAAACCATTTTTATGGTCTCATTAGCAGGGCTAAGTAGTTATATCAAATATATATCCTTAGATATATTGATATAACCACTTAGCAGGGCTAAGTACTTATATCAATATATCCTTCCATTGACTATTCTAAGGACAGTCTCCATTCCTATATACATCTTTCCTAAGGTACCTCCCTCACTGGGATGGATTTTAATCTTGGAAGAAGCTCAAGGATTTATATAAGGTACTTTCCTAGGAATACAATTGTTTGATTGTTAGATATTCTCCTCTTCAACTTCACTACGTGTGCTTAAATTACACCCCAAATTTGTTATGTCAGTTTATACTTTTACCAATAATATCTTTTCCTCTTGCTCTATATCATCACTAATACAAGTATTGTCAATATTTTAATTTTTGTCAATCTGATGGGTATAAAATAATATCTTATTGTAGCCTAATTTTCTTGATTACTAGCCAGCTCTGCATCTTCCATAGTAGCTGTTCGTCCCTATCTCACTAATTAGGAATTCTTCCATTCTAAATAGTTCAGTGTGAATGCGTCTGTTTATGGTCACTCAGTTCATTTTAAGTAGTCTTATCCCTCTGCTACTATAGTCTGTTAATTAAATAATCTTATTAACTGGCAGAACAAGGGTGCTCTTATTCTTCCAAGGTGGCTATTCACTTTTCCATATGAATTTTAGAACAACTTTATGAGTTCCATGAAAAAATCCTGTTGCCATTTTGTTTGGAATTTTAATACTTTTCTGTATTAATTTTGAAGAATATTGTCCTTATAGTATTGAATCTTCCTATTAATAGATCTTTGCATATAGAAGTTTTGGGGGGTTTTTTTGTTTAAGTTACTCAGTAAAAGTTTACTTTTTTTTTCTTAAACTTCTAGGGAAAGCCATAGGATTTCTCATTATTTTTGTTGACAAAATAATTGGTATTTTTATTACACTCTAAGTTACTAGTTTTATCCTTGATTTTTATATCTCTATTTTATATGTCACATGCTCTCATTAGTTTATAGATCTGTTTGGATTTCCATGTAGGTAATCGTATTCACTGCAATATTAACAATATGTGTTTTTTCCTAATACTTAATATCTTTCATTTCATTTTTCTGTATTATTTTGCTAGATAGGATCTTTGGAGGTTAACTGATGCCATTATGGTGGGCATCCTTTTCCTCTCATCCTAACTTCAATGGAAATGATCCTGTATATTGCTGTTGGATATGGTGTTTCCTGTAGGCTGGTAGTAGTTGTGAGTTATGTCAATATGTTTATTGTCCTTGTTTTTAGATTACAGAAGTTCTATTTCTAGTTTGCTAAGAGGTCGTAGGGGTGTGTGTGTGTGTGTGTGTGCGCGCGCGCACTTTCACTTGCATCTGTGTAGATGATCACATGGGTTTTTTTATTAATCTATTGGTATGGTACATTACATTCATAGATTTTTCAAAGGATAAAACATTTATTATGAGATTAACTCATAAATTCAGCTTTTTTTTAATTACTGGATTTGAATTGTAATGATTTTATTCAGAATTTTGGCATATATAGTATTTGTTTCTGTTACTGCCCTTTGTTGGGTCTAGCATCAAAATTATACCAGTTTTATAAAATGAGGAATAGTCCCTCTTTTTCTGTTATCCAGAACCATTTGAATAAGTGCCTATTATTTGTTCCCTAAATGTTTGTTAGAATTCACCTGTGAAGCAATCTGGATCTGATATTTTCTTTAGTTTGTTTGTCTTACAGGTAGATTTTTAACAACGATTCTGTTACTTTAATATCTGTAGCTATTCAGATTATTTATTTGGGGGTTTTCAGTTTTGAGAATGTTTATTTTTCTAGAAATTGACCATTTTGTACATTCTTACAAGACTGTTGTTCTTAGTAGTATAATATGACTTTTAAAAATCTCTTAACATATCTTTAGTTATGTATCCACTTTCAATCTCACTGTTGTTTCCACTGGTCTTTTTTCCTTGGATTTGGTTTATTTTAATAGACTTCTCAAAGAACCACTTATTTCCTTTTTGATTCTTTTGATTAAATTCTTTTCCTGTCTCTTAATTTCTTTTTTATACTTGATTTTAGTATGTTCTTTGACTTCTTGAGTTGTATCCTTTCTCAGTTGTTTCTAGTATTATACAGTTCTTTTATATTACAGTCAAATTGCATCTCACAAGTCTTAATAGTATTTTTTTTTTGAGACAGAATCTCTCTCTGTCACCCAGTCTGGAGTGCAATGGCACAATCTCAGCTCACTGTAGCCTCCACCTCCCGGGTTCAAGCAGTTCTGCTGCCTCAGCCTCCTGAGTAGTAAAGGCATGCATCACCACACCCAGCTAATTTTTGTGTTTTTAGTAAAGATGGGATATCACCATGTTGGTCAGGCTGGTCTGGAACTCCTGACCTCAGATGATCCTCCCAAAGTGCTGGGATTACCACATGAGCCACCACACCTGGCTTAATAGTGTTTTCATTGTCATTAATATCTTATATTGTTCCTTATAATATCTCGTTTGCTCCATAAATTTAGAATTCTCTTTAATTTTCAAGCACTTTTTCCCTATAGCACTGACTTTTTTAGTCTATTTGCATTTTTTTTTCAGAGATATGTTCTCTCTGACAATTCTTGGTTATTGTTGACAGTGTTCTGCAGTCTTTGTAATCTGAATATATGTGATAAATTTTCTAAATTTTCCATGTGTGCTTGAAAAGAATATGTATTTCCTAATTGTTAGACTCAGACTTCAATATATGTTCATCAGATCAAACTTGCTAATTATATTGTTAAATATTTAAAATCTTAACTCATTTTTTTGTTTAGTCCTTTAATTGCTTAGAGTTATGTCGAATTTACCCCTTATGGTGTGGATTTGTTCAATTTCTTCTTGTAATTATGCATTTAAAATATTCCCAGTGAATTATTACTTTTATTATTATACAGAGACTCTTTGTGCCTAATAATGTTTTTTATCACCTTGAACTGCATTCTGTCGGGTATTAATAAAACTACAACTTTTGGTAGGGGAGAAAAGGCAAACATTTGTCTGTTGCCTGATAAGTATGTTTCTTCCTTTGTATTTTAAATACGTCTCTTTTAAACATCATAGTTATCTTTTAATACAATCTGAAAAATGTGTTAAGTGTTGAGTTTATTCTATGTATAGTAATTACTAATATATTTATATTTATTTCTATCATTTTCTGCTTTTTATTCTGCTTTATAAAATGCTATTTTTCCTTCTTTCTTTCCTTCCATGTTATTTAATGAGTTTTTTCACTTTTTTTTCTCTGCCCTTGGTTTTTTAAGTTCTATAGTCATTGTCTTTTATTTAATGCTCATATGTTCTCATATTTTAGAAACGAATTGTTTACAGCCCTCCTCAAAATTGGCCATCATTGTTATTTCACACAATCAATGTTTCTTTTGATTTACCTGAGTGTCTGCCCCTTTCATTCCTCACCATTCCTACTTTCATCTTACTCTTTCCTTTGGGGTTCAGTTAACTACTTATTAAAGTATGTAATTTAGTAGTTCTTTCAAGAATGTGTGTTGGTAATGCTTAGTTCTTTGATGTCCAAATGTCTTTTAATTTTGTTCTCATTTTTGAAGTATGATTTAACTGAGTGTAGAATTCTACCTTGATGGTTACTTTTCTCAGCGCTTTAAAGTGTTTTCTACTGCCTTTGACATAGACTGTTTTATGACATCTACCATCAGTCCCCTACTGTCTTACAATTTTATACTGATTTGTCTTCCTGGTGTATTAGAGATCTTCTATTTGATTTTGGTATTTGCAATTTCAGTATCTTGTATTTATGTATGTATTTATTTTATTTGTCTTCCTTGGGATACATTATTTTTCCCAAAATACATATGAGGCTTTTTAGATTAGATTCTTCAGGTGAGACTTCACCTCGTCTACCTAGAGACCAGATTGAGACAAACAATCTTTCTTGATGTATTCCTGTGTTGTTGAGTGACTTTTATTAATGCTTTTCCTCTTTATGGTCTTTGCTTTATTCCTGAATGTATCATTTTTTGTCACTTACTTCCCAAAATGTTCCTGGCTCCTCATTTCTTGTTCCATCCTGGTACTGCCACCCAAGTGATCAAGACTACCAAAATGCTGTTACAGTAGTATGTCTACTGAGCTAATACAAATGGAATCAAAAACCACAGTTGATTTTTTAAGTGTAATCATATATGCTAGGCAAACATAGATTAAGGAGAATAAAAACTAAAGCAGTAGTTACTAATCATTTTTATCCCAGTTCTACACTAGAGGGTTATCGCATACTCACTTCAGGCACACTAGCTTACTACTATATGTCTTAAGATAAAGAACTTGTAGTTATGTCCCCCTGGTAGATGGGGACTAAGAAAGCTAAGATAGCAGTGACCTAAAAAGATGAGGGTAGACAACAAATCGTTGGGAGTTTCATACTATTGATTATCTATCTATGTTCTTTGATTCTTCAATAATGCTCTTGAGAAAGATACTGCATATATAATTAATTGTATTATTTTTCTGCATGTTTGTTGGTTCTTTTAAGGCATTTTGTGAAACTTTAGAAGAGACTAACTACCGCTTACAAAAAGAACTACTTGAAAAACAAAAGGAGATGGAATCACTAAAGAAACTGCTTAATGAGAAGCAGCTTCATATAGACACTTTAGAGAAAAGATTCAGGTGTGTTGTGATACTTGCATTTCTAGTCTAATTCAACTCTTAATACTCTGGGATAAATACAGTTTACATTTTAATATGATTTAGGAATTTTCCGATTCTGAAAGTTGTAGGCTTTTGGCATTCTTCATTGGGAAAATTGTCCTTTATTTAGAAAGCCAAACATTGAAGGATGGGAAAACATCAGGAAAGTAAGCCAATAACTATTCAACAAGATGAACATTCATTATAATCATTATTTTGATTATAATTATTAAATAAATCATTATTAAATGGAATGCCATTATTTTATTTAGGGGATATCTTACTTTCTAGGCATTTATGCCAACTTCTCACGTATGAAAGCTCTGGTTTGCCGTCTCATCAGCATATATTGAATTGATGCTAAAGTCAGTTTAATCATAGCTACCAATTTCTCTGTATACTCCCAGAGTGAGCTGTTTATTAGCTATGTGACTGCATTAAGGCTTAACAGCTAAATACTGCTATAGCTACATGTATTCACAACGTTAAACATATGCCTGGTTTGTTCATAGAAAATAACTTGTTTCCATAACATATTTTTAGAACAATGTCTTTAGAACCTAAAGAATCACTGGACGTGTCAGAAACAGAAGGTGAACAGATCCTAAAGGTGGAGTCCTCTGCACTTGAGGTTGATCAGGATGTCCTGGAAGAAGAATCTAGGTATATAATATTTCATTTATGATAGCTTAATCTTTTGGATAATTGGAGGGAAGTGATTCTAATACTCTATAGAGCATTTTTTTTTTTTTTATGAGTTCACTGTTAACTCTGTCACGAATCTGCTGAGCAAACAGAGGATTGTAGATATTTTAGGCTCTCCCTAAAAATATGTTTTTGACATCAGGCTGTAAGTTTTCTTCTTACTTACTTCACAACTGTGTCTGCATTAACTGGCCTCTGACTCAGGTAATTTATTATTATTTTTTAAATATTGATAAACTACCTTAATCTCCCTTACCTCAGTATCACCTGTTTACCATTCAAAAAGTAGGATACTGTAATATAATAACCACCACCCTTCCAACCTAATAGGAATGATGAAAATGTAATATATTTGAAAGCACAAAAGTACATAGAGGTTTGGGTTTTTGTTTTCTTTTTTTTTTTTGGTTTGGTTTTTTGAGACAGAGTCTTGCTCTGTCACCCAGGCTGGAATGCAGTGTGGCACAATCTTGGCTCACTGTAACCTCCGCCTCCTAGGTTCAAGTAATTCTCCTGCCTCAGCCTCCCAAGTAACTGGGACTACAGGTGCTTGCCACCATACCTGGCCAGTTTTTGTATTTTTAGCAGATATGGGGTTTTAACCATATTGGTCAGACTGGTCTTGTTCTGACCTCATGATTTGCCTGCCTCAGCCTTCCAAAGTGCTGAGATTACAGGCATGAACCACTGCACCCAGCCCACATATAGTTTTTATTGCATACAGATCCAGAGTAATTGTTAATAGTTTAGTGGTAATGGTTGACTATAATTATGAGAACAACTTTATGTTAAAGGTAATTACCATATAGATTGTTATTGGTCAGTGGTAATTTGGAGAGGTGTAAAAGTTTAAAAACCTATCTCCAAAGGTCTTACCTGTCAATGACAACTTAAAAATATTAAATTTCTGACTGAATGTTTAAATACTTTTTTACATTAAATACTTTTACACTAAGTACGTGAATATTCTTTCTATAAGGTAGAAGATTTTTAAAGGTAATAGTGACGTGAAATAATAGCATGCATCCTATCCCTTCATTGACATATTGCTTTTTTTTTTTTTTTTTTTTTTTTTTTTTTTTTTTTTTTTTTTTTTTTTTTTTTTTTTTTTTTTTTTTTTTTTTTTTTTTTTTTTGCAGAGCTGATAATAAACCATGCTTAAGTTTTAGTGAACCTGAATATGCTGTATCAGAGATAGAAGTAGCAGAAGTGGCGTATGATGCTGAAGAAGACTAATATACCACAAGCAGTCCCCTCCATTTAGACGATTCAGCAAATTTAGAAGAGTGGCAAATACTATCTTAAAAGAAAAAAAGAATTGTAAAATATATGGAAAGAGCAAGAATGCACATGTATGAAGTTTACATAAAGAAGTTTTTTTAAGTTATTGGGATAGGAAATGTATTCACTGCTGCTTTTAATTGTGTTTTATCTAATTATATTTAATACACTAAAAAAAATCTTGTTAGAATTCTGTTATCAAGGCTCATATTCTTAAATACTGTGCATAAATTATTATGGTGTTTTGCCTATATGTTGCTCCAAACTGCTGTGTGTGTGTATATATGTGTGTGTGGGTGTGGGTGGGTGTGTGTGTGTGTGTGTGTGTGTGTGTTAAATCACCAATTATATTAATCAAATGGAAATTAATTGCTTGTTACTATCTGGGTGATATATACTTCTTTATATCTCTGACATGACATATTTTCATTAATGGTTTAAATCAGTGACTATCATAGTAAACATAGAATTTAGTTTAGTTTCTACTGTTTACATGTTTACCATCTGTAAATAAAATTTGCTTATGTGAAATATTAATGCTAAGGGAAAAAAAAATTACTTTCTAGCACCAAAGGAAAACTACTTGAAAGGGCTGTGGTCATATAGCTAAAGTGATAAACTAGCCTTGATTTTAAAAGCTGATTCATTAATATCAAAATACTTTAATAAGTGTAATGGTTATTAATATGTCATATTTGTTTAGTTTCCACATAATCTTTATGTCTACCTAGATTTAGTGAGTTCGCCTCTTTCAGAATACTACCTCTTTTTGTTAATCAAGGCATATTCTTTTGAAAATATAGAGTCTAAATAAATAGGGTCTTATACAAAAAAGAAAACAAAATAAAAAGCCATATATACTGCAAAGTTCCTAACTGGCTTGACTCCTGGCATTGCATTTTTATTTCTATATATGTGAAAATGTTATTATACTGTATTATGGCTGATTTTCTTTTTAACATATTTAGCCAAGTGATGCACTTTATGATAATTAAACTCTTTTGTGCCAAGTTTCATTGGTGGATTTCTTTAGTAAGTAGAGTTAGGAGAATTATGTAGTGCCTTTACTATTTCACTTTCTACAAAAGTCTCCTAGGGTCTATGAGTCAGCTTTATGAAAAAATGTTTATTTCAGCTTTATGTACAGTCATTGAAAGTGCCTTGTTTCATTTTTATAGTGTGAAGTTACTCATTTATTTTCTGTTTTCACTATTTTGCATATTGCTGTGTAATAATGCTGGCATTTTGCAATCCCCGTCGGTATGCTTTCTAAAAACTTAGGGAAATTTACTAGGGAAATAGAATAACAATCTCCATTTTTTTTATTTACTATCTAAAAGTTTATCAGTATCTTGATGTATATGTTAAGATGTGGCTGTTTAAAACCCTACTGACATATATCATCACATCCAATGGCTGTTGTTAATCTTTGAAGTAAAAAGGGAACTGCTTTTTACCAAATAACCAAAAACTTTAAAGTTTTTGTCAGAGTGCACAGGTATGCTCTGACTGAGAACATTTTCCAAAAAGTGTATTAGAAATATGTTTACTATACTTAGAGACAGATATGAATATAACAAATTGATCTGCTTATCAAAATTATTCTAGACTTGCAAAAGGTTTAAAAAGAACAATCATTTTTAGTCAGTACAATTTTGAATCTTATATAACAGATCTTTGCCAAATTCTAGATATTGTAGTATTGCCTGTCTGCTCCAAAGTGAACCACCCACTTTTTCAATCTGGCTTTTCAGAAGATTGTATTTAAAGCTTTGCAAGAGTGAAGAAAAAAAATCTGTTAATTAGGTAAACCACTATTATTTATGTTTATAATTTACCTTTTTTTACTTTTATAATGCATTTTACTCCCGGTATTATGTTCATTTAATAAATTATTTTTTCATTGCAACAGTTACTGTGTTGTTCATATGTTGAATACCGTTTTCCCCCTCCACTTTCTATATTCTTCTCCCTATCCTTTATGATTATTGTAAATTGAATTATATTAAGTGCTGAATTTCACAGATGTGGAATGAGTCTGATTTTCTTTTTAGGTTTACCCTTTATATTGCTGGTCATTTTTGAAAGTCTTTGTGACTAGGTGCAATGTACTTTAACGTAACCTATATTAATAATTTTAAAAATTGAATGTAATTGAAACATTTCTGTGGATAATCTTTTAACTTTTTAAAAATTAAACTTACATAAAGTTAGTACAACCATAAAACAGCATTTTAAAATGTAACTGTCTACACTGAGATTAGCCATTTACATACAGCACATTTATTTAGAAAACCAGGCTTAGATAAATTATCTGTGTAGTCTAGTTCAGTCTGTGGTATTAAAAGGGAACAACGGCTTTAGATAATAAAAATAATTTGGTTTTGAAATGGATTTTATTACTTATAGGAACAGATGAGTTTGCGGATGATGATAAAACAAGTTTGTATTCCCGACTAGCAGAGAGAGGAACCTAAATTTTATCCTCTAGGAAGTCTTCAAAGAGCTACATATTTGATCCACATTTTGGCTCTTCATAGAATTACCGTTACGGCATTACACTTTGTTTCTATGCTGTTGGCTCCAAATAACAAACACAGTCATCAAAACATATTTTCAATATATGTTTTTAAGGCTAATGGCTACTTTTAAATATGTCACAGAATGTACCTTTTATGAGGACCCATTGGAGAAACTTCTCTTGGGTCTCAGTCTCAGCAAAACATCTGCTTCTCCTCAACAGTTGATTTGGGGGTTTTTTGTTTGTTTGTTTTTGTTTTTTTGAGACAAAGTCATCTCTGGAGGGCAGTGACACGATCTCAGCTCACTACAGCAGTGGCCACCGCACCAGCCTGATTTGATTTTTGTTTTTTGAGATGGAGTCTCACTCTGTCACCCTGGCTGCAGTGTAGTGGCACGATCTCGGCTCACTGCAATATCCGCCTCCCAGGCTCATGCAGTTCTCCTGCCTCAAGCCTCTCGAGTAGTTGGGACTACAGGCGTGTGCCACCATGCCCGGCTAATTTTTGTATTTTTAGTGGAGATGGAGTTTCACCATGTTGGTCAGGCTGGCCTCGAACTTCTGACCTCAAGTGATCCATCCGCTTTGGCCTCCCAAGTGCTGGGATTACAGGCGTGAGCCACCATGCCCCGGCAGCCTGATTTGTTTGTATCTTTTTAAAGAGTCTATTGCTGTCTTTGTTGGTCCTCTTTGTTTTGTCTTTTGGCAGCTCTAGGCCAAATTGTAGTTCACTTGCATAGTTATGCTTTTCTGTCGTAATCATGGTTTTTTATCTTCGATTTTTTTCCTATTTAAGTTGTTTTAATAGAACATACAGGCCGGGCATGATGGCTCACGCCTGTAATCTCAGCACTTTGGGAGACTGAGGCAGGCAGATCACGAGGTCAGGAGTTCAAGACTAGCCTGGCCAATATGGTGAAACTCCATCTCTACTAAAAATACAAAAATTAGCCAGGTGTGGTGGCACGCTTCTGTAGTCCCAGCTATTGAGGAGGCTGAGGCAGAAGAATCGCTTGAACCTGGGAGGCAGAGGCTGCAGTGAGCTGAGATCACACCACTGCACTCCAGCCTGGGTGACA